GTTGGCCAGGCTGGTTTCAAACTTCTGACCTCAGGTGATCCACCCATCTTGGCATCCCAAAGTGCTGGGATTACAGGTATGAGACACCATGCCCAGCCATTTTTTTTTTGAGATAGGGTCTCACTGTGTTGGCCAGGCTGGAGTGCAGTGGTGCGATCACAGTTCACTGCAGCCTCCAACTCCTGGGCTCAAGTGATCCTCTTCCCTCAGCCTCCTGAGTAGCCACACCTACAGGCACACACCACCGCATCTGGCTAATTTTTTATATTTTTAGTAGAGATGGGGTCTTGCTATGTTGCCCAGGCTGGTCTTGAACTCCTGGGCTCAAGCAGTCCTCCTGTGTCAGCCACCCAAAATGCCGGAGTTACAAGCATGAGCCCCTGTGCCCGGCACCCTCTTGGCTTCTAACAGTCACCCCACACTGAGGCTCCAGCGCCCAAATCTACCCTCTCCTCTGAAGACGTGGAAGGTAGGGCGGAGGGTAGGGTGAAACTCAGAACCTCTCAGGCCCAGCCTCACAAATCCCAGGGAAGCTGAGCCAGGAAGGTGAAGTTTAAGGGGACCTTCTGGAAGGTGAGAGCTGAGAGCACAGATTCGCAACACAGGCAGATGTGGCCAGAGAAAGCATTCACAATACCCCAAAGGCTCTCAGAATCCACGGAGAGAAACAGCGGCCTGGAGGCCTCTTCTTCGCCAGGGCAGACCCTCGGGAGGCCAATGGTATGGCCCTGATTCCTGCAGGGGCTGGTCAGACGCCCGTCCCTTACCTGGGATGGTGACCTGAATGATGTCCAGATCCTCTGGCTCAATTTTGATCGGCCTTAGCCCGCCCAGCTCCCCAGAGGTTCCTGTAAAGAGGAAAGGAAGGATCCGGTCAAGTCTGGCATGAGCCTGGCTGGGCAGAGGGAGTCTTTCCAGAACATTCTGGCGTCTGTAACTTGTCAGTGAGGTTCTACCTAGGACAAGTCATGTCAGCCCCCCGCTCCTGCCCAGACCAGAACTGGAGGTCAGGGGAGCCCTCAGGCTAGGCTTAGGGGCTCCTATTTATTTATTTATTTGAGACAGAGTTTCACTCCTGTTACCCAAGCTGGAGTGCAATGGCAGGATCTCAGCTCACTGCAACCTTGCCTCCTGGGTTCAAGCGATTCTCCTGCCTCAGCCTCCGAAGTAGCTGGGACTACAGGCACGCGCCACCACAACAGGTTAATTTTTGTATTTTTAGTAGAGACGGGGTTTCTGTGTATTGGTCAGGCTGGTCTCGAACTCCCGACCTCAGGTGATCTGCCTGCCCCGGCCTCCCAAAGCGCTGGGATTACAGGTGTGAGCCACTGCGCCCGGCCAGGGGCTCCAATTTACAGACCCGGTGACTGACGCTCCCCAGAGGCGAGGCTGCTGGTCCAGGAGCCTGGAGCCTGGGTCTGTGCATCGACGGAGGCAGTGGTGATGCCAGCACCCAGGTCTCCATGCCCCTGACCCCAGTAGGAGCTCCCAGCATGCCTTGCACCTTGGTGCTGCAAGCCTGGGGGGGTGCAGGTGGGCAGAGGGGTGTCATTAGCACTCCAGGCTCATGAGCTGAGTTGAGCTCCTCCCTAAGGCTGCCGGGTAGGGCTGGTGGTGGCCCTCCTGGCCCATGACACCCATGGCGTGCCCTGTTCTTCTCACCTGGCCCGCAGTCTTCAGACATGCTGCCCTTGTCTGACCTGTGAAGGGAAGCCAGGAAATGACACCTGTCAGCCAAGTCCAGGAAATGACACCTGCCAGCCTGCCCAGCCTTGCCCCTCCAGGCAGTCGGGGGCCCACTGCGGCCCTCCCCCATCACCCCCTGGCCCCCAGGACGGTGCTCCCTACCCCCACCAGGGAGAGAGATCCTCTGTGCCCTGTCTCTGGGGACCACCATCTCCAGGGGTACCCGAACCAGGCACCCGCTCACTCTTCTGGGGTGAACCATCTGGGAGCTCTGGGGCTCCTGAGCTTGGCACAGTGGGGGTTTGATCACTGCTTGTGGGGGATTAAGACCTGCAGGGCCTGGAAAGGGTTAAGAATCTGGGGAGGGGCCTGGGGAGCAAAGGTAGCCAGGACCCTGGGACAGAAGATTTGGTTAATTCCCTCCCTCCCTCCCTCCCAGAGAACCGCAGGGAGAGGCCTGGCATGATGTGGGGATTCTGAAATAAACAGCCCACCCCTGCCTCTAAGAGGTCAGAACGTGGTTGGGGGGTGCTGGTGGGTGGTTGCCAAGCTGAGCGCGGGGGCAGGGTCTGGTGGGCACTCGGGACAGGCATCAGACCTGGTGTTAGTATGTATGTGTGCATGTAGGTATACACGTGTATGTGATATGCATACATGTATTTTTTTTTTGAGACAAAGTCTTGCTCTGTTGCTCAGGTTGGAGTGCAGTGGCACAATCTTGTCTCACTGCAACCTCTGCTTCCCGGGTTCAAGCAATTCTCCTGCCTCAACCTCCCAAGTAGCTGGGACTACAGGCACCTGCCACCATGCTCAGCTAATTTGTTTTGTATTTTTAGTAGAGACGGGTTTTGCCACGTTGGCCAGGCTGGTTTCAAACTTCTGACCTCAGGTGATCTGCCTGCCTCAGCCTCCCAAAGTGCTGGGATTACAGGTATGAGCCATCACACCCGGCCTCATGTATGTCTTTTTGAGACAAGGTCTTACTCTGCTGCCCAGGCTGGAGTGCAGCGGTGCGATCACAGCTCACTGCAGCCTTGACCTCCCAGGCTCAAGGGATCTTCCCACCTCAGCATCCCAAGTAGCTGGGACCACAGGTACCAGCCATAACATCCAGCTTCCTTTTTATTTTTTGTAGAGACAAGAGTCTCACTATGTTGCCCAGGTTGGTGTCAAACTCCTGGGCTCAAGAGATCCACCCACCTCAGCCTCCCAAAGTGCTGGAATTATAGGAGTGAGCCACCAAGCCTGGCCTAGTGTGGGCATGTATTTATTTTGAGACAGGGTCTCGCTCTGTCATCCAGGCTGGAGTGCAATGGCGCAATGTCAGCCCTCTGCAACCTCTCCCTCCCAGGTTCAAGCCATTCTCTTGCCTCAGCCTCTCGAGTAGCTGAGATTATAGGTGCACACCACTACACCCAGCTAATTTTGTGTTTTTACCAGAGACGGGGTTTCACCATGTTGCCCAGGCTGGTCTCAAACTCTTGGCCTCAAGAGAGTCACCCACCTCGGCTTCTCAAAGTGCTAAGAGTACAGGCGTGAGCCACCGCACCCGGCCTAGTGCGGGCATTTAGAGGCTTCTGAGGGAGGTGACATCTGCCTAGATCTTGGGGGCGGAAGAGTTCTCTAGGTGACAGTTCTCTAGGCAGAGGAAGTAGGTGAAGTCTCTGTTTCCTCTAGCCCTCCCTTTGCACCTTCAAGGCCTGGTGGTGTGGTGGGAGCCGCCCTGGGTCTCTGGTCCCCCCTTGCAGGTAATGCTCCCTCAGCCCAGAGCAGGGCTGGCCATGGGCCTCCGGGGTCGGGGTCTCACCGAGCACTCCCGGCCATGTCATGGATGCTGGCCCTAGAGACCTCTGCAGAGGTGTCCTCCGGTGGGCTGGCTGGCTCCAGCTTCGTGGTGTCTTTGGTAAACTTGTTCCCTGTGGGGAGAGTCAGGGAGGTCAGGGTGAAGGCCCTCTGGCCTCCTTTTGCTGCAGGACCACTGGGTGAAGGTCTCCACGTGAAGCTCCTGGGGCAATCCCAGGGGTAGGGCCTTGCCTCTGCCCTTCCTTGTGAGCTCCACGTCCAGCCAACAGCCAGGAACGGGTCCTGGGGAGATGCTGCCCCCAGACGGAGGAACAGCAGCCCTACTGCCAGAGGGGGCCAGAGATTTGAGAGAAGGGCAGGGGGAAGGGGAGGCAGCAACCAGAGACGGTTCGCCTGCGCTCCGACACACTGCGGGGGCTGAGCCCTCAGAAAAGGCCCGGGGCTTCCCCAAGGCTGCATCATGGGACCAGGCCCTCATCTCATTATTTCATTGTGCCAGGAGCCCAGAGGAAGGTGCTCTTTTTTGTTTTGTTTTGTTTTTTGGGACAGACTTTCGCTTTGTCGCCCAGGCTGGAGCGCAGTGGCGCGATCTCGGCTCACCGCAACCTCTGCCTCCTGGGCTCAAGCAGTTCTCCTGCCTCAGCCTCCTGAGTAGCTGGGATTACAGGTGTGTGCCACCACGCCCGGCCAATTTTTGTATTTTTAGTAGAGACAGGGGTTTCTCCATGTTGGTCAGGTTGGTCTCAAACTCCCGACCTCAGGTGATTCGCCGTCCTCGGCCACCCAAAGTGCTGGGATTACAGGCGTGAGCCAACGCACCCGGCTGGAAGGTGTTCTTATCATCCCCATTTCAAAGATGTGGAAACTGAAGCCCAGAAGACTTTTCCCAAAGTCACATAGCCAGTGGGAGGGAGGACCAGAACTGGGGTGCCAGATACAAAAAGATCTGCAATGCTTTGCTGCCCGGGAAGAGACTGTACCTCCCTTTTTTTTGAGACGGAGTCTTGCTCTGTCGCCAGGCTGGAGTGCAGTGGTGTGATCTCAGCTCACTGCAACCTGTGTTTCCTGGGTTCAAGCGATTCTCCTGCCTCAGCCTCCCAAGGAGCTGGGACTACAGGCGCCCACACCATGCCCAGCTGATCTTTTGTGTTTTAGTAGAGACTGGGTTTCACCATGTTGACCAGGATGGTCTCGATCTCTTGACCTCGTGATCCACCCGCCTCGGTCTCCCAAAGTGCTGGGATTACAGGCGTGAGCCACCGCGCCCGGCCAGAGCCCGCATCTTCCTCCTGGGACAGGTGTGCTGGCCCGCGGGCCACTGCATGTGCTCTGGAGTCGCACGGCTAGGCCTGCAGCCAGGGACCCGTGCCCACCTGGGTCCCTATCTGGTTCCTCTATCTGCACGTGAGGATAGAAATGGAGCTACCTTCATAGGATTGTTGGAATTCTATTAAAATAAAATATGCTGGCAGCTTCGAAGAGAGCCTGGCACAGGCTCAGGTTCACTAAGCTGGCACAGGGTAGTATCCAGGTTTAGTACTCTCTGTCCAGGGCACTCGAAGCTGCGAGGGGCTCTCCTGACAGTCTGTGAGCACTTAGGAGCCCGGGACCCATTTCTGTCCCAGGACACAGAAGCCACAGCCCAGCCTCCCTCCATCCCTGAGGGGAAGGGCTCGGGAGGACCAAGTCCAGGATGGTTGGAGAATCAACTGGAAACTTCAGAATGGGCTAGATGGTCCCCACATACCTGTGAAAATTCGCTCATCAAACATCCTGGGGAGAGAGAGGAGACGGGCGTGAGAACGGTATAGGCTAGAGGGCTCTCCCGGGGCTCGGGGAGATGCCTCCAGGTCCCCTTCGGTGGAAGTCACTGAGTGACACAGGCACAGCCACAGACCTGGGCACCCGAGACACAGGCAGGCAGGAGAGGACATGTCCGAAGTCTCAGAACCTCCCAAACCATTTATTTCTATTTCTGGAGAGAGAGTCTCACTTTGTTGCCCAGGCTGGAGTGCAGTGGTGCGATCTCGGCTCACTGCAACCTCCGCCTCCTGGGTTCAAGCGATTTTTCTGTCTCAGCCTTCCAAGTAGCTGGGATTATAGGTGCCCGCCAGCACACACTGCTAATTTTTGTATTTTTAGTTGAGACGGGGTTTCACCATGTTGGCCAGGCTGGTCTCAAACTCCTGACTTCAAGTAATCCACCCACCTCTGCCTCCCGAAGTGCAGGGATTACAGGTGTGAGCCACTGCGTGCGCCTGGCCTCATTATTTTTAATATTTTTGTGGAGATAGGGTCTTGCTTTGTTGCCCAGCCTGGTCTAGAACTCCTGGCTTCAAGGGATCTCCCCACCTTGGCGTCCCAAAGTGCTGGAATTGCAGGCGTGAGCCACTACACCCGGTCTAGATACTGGACTTACTTTTTTTTTTTTTTGAGACATGGTCTGTCTCTGTCACCCAGGTTGGAATGTAGTGGCATGATCACGGCTCACTGCATTCTTGACATCCCAGGCTCAGGTGATCCTCCTGCCTCACCCTCCCAAGTAGCTGTGAATGGATGCGTGTACCACCATGCCAGGCCAATTTTTGTATTTTTAGTAGACACGGAGTTTCACCATTTTGGCCAGGCTGGTCTCGATCTCCTGACCTCAGGTGATCCACTCACCTCGACCTTCCAAAGTTATGGGATTACAGGCATAATCCAGGCCACCTCATCTAGCCTATTTTTTATTTTTTGAGATGGGGTGTCACTCTGTCACCCAGGCTGGAGTGCAGTGGCATGATCATAGCTCACTGCAGCCTCAAATTCTGGTGCTCAAGTGATCCTCCCATCTCAGCCTCCAAGTAGCTGGGGACTATAGGCACCTGCCACCACGCATGGTTAACTTTTTAAATTTTTTTTGCAGAGACGGGGTCTCACCATGTTGCCCGAGCTGGTTTCAGGCCTGTTTTATGTAAATGAGGCACAGAGTGGTTAAGTAACTCGCCCAAGGACACCCAGCTAGGAAATGTCTGTAAGTACACTGAGGCCCTTGATGATGTTTTTATTCATGAGGGAAATGAGGTCAAGGAAAAACACCTCATGCTTATTAAACATGTGCTATGTGTCAGTGTGTTTCATCCACTTTTTCACTTTATGTTAGGAAACCCCCTGGGTGGGGGGCATCAATGTCCCTTTTCCTTTTTTTTTTCTTTAAGAAACAGGGCCTTGCTCTGCCACTCAGGCTATGCAGGCCTGGGCCACATAGCAATCTCTACTCAAAAAATAAATTACCAGGTGCCTGATCAGGCCAGACACTGTGCCTGCATTTTCCAGTCAATCCTCAAAAGACCCAGAAGGAAGAGGCTGCACAGCTACACTAAGGAGCTATAACAGAATCCTCTCCCAGGCCTGTCCGATTCTCTGTTGAGTTAGAGAACCTGTTCATTCTGCCCCTGCTCCATCATTGCCTCCCCAGGTCCCCGCTCAGCCCAGATGCCCCCAAACCCCAAGCCCAAGCCATGCCTGGAGTAGAAGGTCAGACCCCTATGCCCACCCGCTGCACCTCTTTTTTTTTTTTTTTTGGTATTTTTAGTAGAGACGGGGTTTCACCATATTGGCCAGGCTGGTCTCGAACTCCTGAGTTAGTGATCTGCCCACCTCGGCCTCCCAAAGCGCTGGGATTATAGGCATGAGCCACTGCGCCCGGCCTCTTTTTTATTTTTGAGATGGAGTCTCCCTCCGTCACCCAGGCTGGAGTGCAGTGGCGTGATCTTGGCTCATTGCAGCCTCTGCCTGCCGGGTTCAAGAGATTCTCCTGCCTCAGCATCCCAAGTAGCTGGGTTACAGGCATGCACCACCGCACCTGGCTGATTTTTGTATCGTTAGTACAGACGGGGTTTTGCCATGTTGGCCAGGCTGGTCTCGAACTCCTGGCCTCAAGCGATCTGCCCGCCCTGGCCTCCCAAAGTGCTGGGATTACAGGCGTGAGTCACCGTGCCCAGCCCCACCCGCACCTCTTAATGATGAAGTGGATGCTGTGCCTCTCCTCCAGAATCCGCTTCAGCTTGGGGACTCCGTAAGTGCAGGGGCGCTTGAAGGGGATCTTGTCGGGGATGCCCACGATCTCCACAGCCTCCGGGTCGCAGGCGATCTTCCGGTAGGGCACGGGGACCATGTGGTCCAGGCCTAGGGCTTCCGCTGGAAAGATAACCAAACAGCAAGGCTGAGTGTGAGACAGGCTGCAGGGTGCGCAGGACCCGGGGCTGTGGTCACCATCACTCCCACCAGCCCTACTCCACTCTGGCCATGTAGTGGCCATAGGGATCCTGCAGAAATGTCAAATCATGTCACTTTTTTTTTTTGAGACGGAGTCTCCCTCTGCTGTCCAGGCTGTAGTGCAGTGGTGTGATCTCAGCTCATTGCAACCTCCACCTCCCAGGTTCCAGCGATTCTCCTGCCTCAGCCTCCCAAGTAGCTGGGACTACAGGTGCCCACCACCATGCCTGGCTAATTTTTTGTATTTTTAGTAGAGACAGGGTTTCACCATGTTAGCCAGGATGGTCTCGATCTCCTGATCTTGTGATCCACCAGCCTCGGCCTCCCAAAGCGCTGGGATTACAAGCGTGAGCCACCATGCTCAGCCCATGTCACTTTTATGTTAAGAAATTGGCTGGGCTGGGTGCGGTGGTGCATGCCTGTAATTCCAGCACTCTGGGAAGCTGAGGTGGGCAGATGGCTTGAACCCAGGAGTTCAAGACCAGCCTGGACAACACAGCAAGATGCCATCTCTGCAAAGAGTAAAAAATAAAAAGCTAGGCGTGGGGGTGCACGCCAGTAGTCCCTGCTACTCTGGAGGCTGAGGTAGGAGAATCACTTGAGCTGAGGAGTTCAAAGCTGCAGTGAGCCAAGATCATGCCACTGCACCCCAGGCTGGGCAACAGAGTGAGACCCTGTCTCTAAAAAAATAAAATAAAAAATGTCCAGTGGCTCCCATCTCATTTGGTGACAGCCAAAGTCCTGCCTATGTGACTTCATCACCTGTGACATCATCTGCCCCCTCTCATGCCTCTGTGTGCTCCCCTCAGCCCCCTGCCACTCCCTCGGTGCTTCCCCCACCCTCGCCAGGGGCATACACTCAGTTCAAGGCCTTTGTACTTGTTCTTTTGTCTTCCCAGATCCCTTTCTCCCAGAAATCCACAAACATCCATCTGTCCATTCATCTAATCATCCATCCATCCGTCAGTCCATCCATCTGCCCATCCATCCATCCATCCATCCATCCATCCATCCATCCGTCCATCCGTCCATCTATCCATCCATCCATCTACCCATCTGTCCATCCATCTGCCTATCCATCCATTAGTCTATCCATCTATCCATCCGTCCATCTGCCCATCCATCCATCCATCCGCCCATCCATCCATCTATCCATCCATTCATCCATCTTCCCATCTATCCATCCATCTGACCATCCATCGGCCCATCCATCCATCCATCCATCTGCCCATTCAACCATCTGCCCTTCCATCCATCCATCCATCCACCCACTCACCCATCCTTCCATCCATCCTTCCACCCACCCACCCTCCATCCATCCACCCATCCATCCGTCTGTCCATCCATCCATCTGTCCATCTATATGTCCATTCATCTGCCTGTCCATCTGTCCATCCATCCATCCATCCATTCATCCATCTGCCCATCCATCCATCCATCCATCCATCCATCTGCCCATCCATCTATCCATCCATGCATCCATCTGTCCACCCATCCATCCATCTGCCCATCCATCTATCCATCCATGCATCCATCTGTCCATCCATCCATCCATCCATTCATCCATCTGCCCATCCATCCATCCATCTGCCCATCCATCCATCCATCCATCCATCCATCTGCCCATCCATCCATCCATCCATCCATCCATCCATCCGTCCATCTGCCCATCCATCCATCCATCCATCCATCTGCCCATCCATCCATCCATCCATCCATTTGCCCATCCATCCATCCATCCATCCATCTGCCCATCCATCCATCCATCCATCCATCCATCCATCCATCTGCCCATCCATCTATCCATCCATGCATCCATCTGTCCACCCATCCATCCATCTGCCCATCTATCCATCCATCTATCCATCCATATGCCCATCCATCCATCCATCCATCCATCCATCTGCCCATCCATCCATCCATCTGCCCATCCATCCATCCATTCGTCCATCCATCCATCCATCCATCCATCCATCCATCCATTCATCTGGCCATCCATCTGCCCATCCATCCATCCATCCATCTATCTGTCTATCCATCCTATCCATTGTTCTATCCATCTATCCATCCACCCATCTATCTTTCTTCCCTCCCTCCCTCCCTCCCTCCCTCCTTCCTTCCTTCCTTCCTTCCCTTCCTTCCTTCCCTCCCTCCCTCCTTTCAGGTGTTTGCTCAAATAGCACCTTGGCAGCCTCATGCGGCCCCTCCATCCCTCATTCTCTCCCCTACTGTGTCTGTCATCCATTGCTCATCACCTGACGTTACATCCACAATCATCTCTATGCGTGTTCGCTATCTGGAAAGGAAGCTGAATAAGAACAGGGGCTTTGGCCAGGTGTGGTGGCTTATGCCTGTATTCCCAGCACTTTGGGAGGCCACGGTGGTTGGGGAATGCTTGAGCCCAGGAGTTCAAGACCAGCGTGGGCGACACAATAAGCAGCCATCTCTATAAAAATAGAAAAAATGAGCTGGGCATGGTGGAGCATGCCTGTAATCCCAGCTACTTGGCAGGCTGAGGCAGGAGGATCACTTGAGCCCAGGAGTTCAAAGATGCAGTGAGCTGTGATTGCACCACTACACTCTAGCCTGGGCAACAGAGTGAGACTGTCTAAAATAGAGTAGGGGTTGTTTCCTGCCTTGCCACTGTGACCTCAATGGGGCTGGGCACACACTAAGTGCTTTCTGCATAGTCAGTATACAAATGGCTAAAGGAGGTGCCCAAGCTTGAGGCTGGCTCTTGGCAGGTGACTGGTTGCACACGTGAGCACAGGTGTGTCCCTTCTTGCAGGGAGGAGCTCAGCACGCCCTCCATTCACCAGCGCCATAAACAAGACACGGCCCAGAAGCTGACAGCTGTGCCAACAGCCAAGCAGACAGAATCCAGGCTCATGACCTGGTTACTTGCTCTGTTTTTCCCGACTTACGCCATTTCAGTCATTCACTTCCACCCCAGCTCCACCTTTTCATTCATTCATTCACCAAATACTTTTTTTTTTTTTAAATCTGACGGAGTCTCGCTCTGTTGCCCAGGCTGGCGTGCAGTGGCATAATCTTGGCTCACTGCAACCTCTGCCGACCAGGTTCAAGTGATTCTCCCTGCCTCAGCCTCCCAAGTAGCTGGGATGACAGGCATGGGCCACCACGCCCAGCTAATTTTTTGTGTTTTTAGTAGAGACCAGGTTTCACCATGTTGGCCAGGCTGGTGTTGAACTACTGACCTCAGATGATCCGCCGGCCTTGGCCTCCCAAAGTGCTGGGATCACAGGCGTGAGCCACCACGTCCGGCCCAGCACCAAATACTTTTAAAGCACCTACTATGTTCCTGACACAAGCTGGTACTTACTTTCTTTCTTTTTTAGAGACAGGGTGTTGTTCTATTGCCCAGGTTGAAGTGCGGTGGTGCAATCATAGCTCACTGCAGCCTCGACTTCTAGCTAAAGTGATCCTCCTGCCTCAGCCTCCCAAAGTGCTGAGATTACAGGATGAGCCAGTGCTCCTGGCCGTAAGCAAGTACTTTCACGGGTCACCCATCCCCCCAAGGCTGGCCTGACCATCCACTTCACTCCTGCCTCCTCCTGTGACCTTGGACGGGGCCTTGACACGCTGTCCTCCAAGCTGGCTGCTCCTCCCACATCTCCTGGCTGCTCCCTGTCCTCGTCCTAGCCGTGCTGCACATGCTTTGTCTGTGTTCCTACAAGTGCCCGCCCAGAGCTGGACCTCCCTTGGGTGCCTTTGACATTGTTTTCCTGTTGATGCAGCAGCCCCAGTCTGCGTTGGTGGCTTTGGCATCCAGATCCCACGGAGAAGTCACACTTAGCTCATTGTCAGATTAAACCCTCGAAATCTCAACAGCTGGGAAAGCATCTCTCCCCACAAGCCCCCACCTCCCACACCAGCAGCCCCAGCCCCAGCCCCAGCCCTTGAGCAATCCTTTGAGTCGCTGCAATTTCATCTCTGTCCCGTTCATCTGGTTTATTGGGGCTTGTTTTTCCAGCAGCGGGGAGATTCAGCGGACAGAGGGCCGACTCCCCAACCCTGCTGTTACTCCTTGGGAAGGGGCTGGCTTCATGCAGAGCCACCTTGCACCATCCTTGGTCCCTCACCTGGTCCTAGGATCTTCCCAGAGGACATGTCCTCAAGGCTTCCTGAAGCCTAACATTTCCCCCAGTTCTCCTTCTTATTATTATTTTTGAAATGGAGTCTCACACTGTCACCAGGCTGGAGTACAGTGGCGCAATCTCAGCTCACTGCAACCTCTGCCTCCTGGGTTCAAACGATTCTCCTATCTCAGCCTCCCGAGTAGCTGGGATTACAAGCACACCACCATGCCTGGCTAATTTTTGGTATTTTTAGTAGAGACAGTGTTTCATCATGTTGGTCAGGCTGGTCTCGAATGCCTGACCTCATGATCCACCCACCTCAGCCTCCAAGTGCTGGGATTACAGGCGTGAGTCACCGAGCCCGGCCCCCAGTTCTTATTTTCCTGTTTCTTCCATCTCTACACCGCCTGCACCGTCGCTGGCCCAATTCACCCAGATTTGGTGGCTGGTAGAGCTAGGACCAGGAGTCCCTTACCCATGATCGGTGGGATGCCTTGGGCTGCCAAATCCCATCCCCACCACCATGGGGACCCCAGTACTGCCGGGTAGCTGCCTTCCCCCCTGCACAGCTCTCCAGAGAGCGCTCTGGCTTATGGGGAACAAGGTCTTGACCACTCCACACCCAGTACTCCTTGGATATGACCCAGGAACTGACATTTGGAAAAGGCTTGGCATTCTGGAAAGTCCAGTGCATGGGACATGCCAGAACACTGGCCTGGGCGGAACCCTCCCAAGGCAGGCAGAGCCGGCTCCTCCCTGGCTGCCCTCCCCACCTGGCTCACACCTGCCCGGGGCGGGGAGAGACTCAGGGGCAGGTGCAGACAGCCCTTTGCAGTACTGAGGAGTGAGGAGGCGTGGCCGGGCCAGGGTGACCACATCAAAGGCAGCTGGCTACCCCAGGCTCCTCGCTAAGGCCTCTGGAGTCTCGTTCAACCCTACTCCAATGTGGAAAGTCCAGCCCACATGCAGAGGTGCCCCAGCTGCGGTCTGAATCACAGCGCACCTCCTCCATGAAGCCCCCAATGACTTCTGACTTCCCGACCTGTTGAGATTGTATCTTCCTGGGAATTATCTTCTCTTTCTCTTTTTTTTTTTTTTTTTTGG